AATACAGAGAATACGAAATAAGTTGAAGTGTCCGCACACTGCTGGCAGAACACCTTTTGCTCTAATTCGCGAGGTTTGATGTTTTATCTTTCTTTTTTTCTTTTTTAAATTATGACCTTGCTAACTTTATATGGAACGATTCTTATACTCGTTTTTATGTAACTAGAAAAAAAGAAGGAACTTTGAGAATTTAAAATTGGAATAGATTACTAATAGATCGATTTTCCTTTCTTTAGATACAAAACCTTCATGCTCTTTTATTAGTCTTCGTGGTTAGTTGATTAATTTGACTAAACAACAATGGAGAAGGGACCTGGAAAGAAAGAATAGGTTGAAAAACCACTCCTCAATCCTACAGGTAGATCATAATGGGGTTGGGGTTGCAGGACAATATTTAATACTTTAATTGTATGTTTATATGTTTGATCTTGCAAGATACTAAAAATTAAATTTAAGTACGTTCTAAGTTTTCTATCTTTTGTAGTTTTTCTCTTTATCTTTACAGGCCAAGTACGTTACCGTTTTAGCTAAATTATCTGCTTTTCACTTTTCATTGCATCTTCTTCATTTCTAACTTTTAGCAAATACTTTGTTACTTAGTAATTTATTGTATAGCATTTGTTTCCTTACCAAATTTATTTTGGCAGTTAACTGCAAAAACAATTCTCTTGGTTGTATGACAGGTTTTTACATTTCTTTTGTCGAATGTTGCTGCAAAATAGATCATCTTTTTTACTACTAACCAACTGTCCCGCATACCTTTTTGGGCCTTTGTACACTTAACCTGCTGTTGTTTTGTTGGTAGCTGTAACACCGTTTCAAATGTGTCTTCTGTTAATTACTTAATTAATTCAATTGTAAACTCTAAAATTGAATATCCAAGTTCCTATGTGGTCTAACAGGATGGCTTAGCTGCAATGCGATCGGCATTGCAGCTCTATTCGTGAGTCCAACGATGACATTAACAATTTCTGGGTTTATGTCATAGCTATAATAAAAGAAGCAATATGTTGTATCTCTTCACTTTGTTTGGCAGAGGATTCAGATGAGGATGCCTGATTGCATTTGTTTTATCCCTGTAGATCTACTAAAGAGCAATAAACATTATGTTGAAGCCCTAAAGGCTTTACCCTCAGTGCTAAGCTTCAGTTGGGAATTGGATGCCTTTGTAGAGGACTTTGTTTGTTAGGCATGGAATTGGCAGATTTGATTATTTAGTGCTGCTGCCTTTTGCTTAATGCTTAGGCTCTTAGCACTTAGCAGTACGTGACACATGAATATGTATTAATAGTTGTGTATAGTTTATTGAGAAGGGCTTTGCCAGAGAAACTAAATGATAATGTTGTGTATAGTTTGTTGAAATGATTAAGTTGGATTAATAAAAGAAGAACCAAAACAGCTAAATGCTTGAGTATTCTTAGACCGGATTCTCTTGAAGGGTAATAACTTTATTTATCCTTTTTTGTAGGTGACCGAGTAGATCAAGAAATGGGTGATGAAGACGATGAAGAACTAGACCTTACTTGAAATGAATTTTGAATTGTTACAGATGAATGTTCTAGGAATCTTTTGTTACCAACATTTTTGAACTTATTTACGCTCTTTAATTGTACTAAATTTATGCACTCATGGGGTAGAACATTTGCTTTATGGATATTATTGTTTGATGGATAATTTTGTATTATTAATAGTTTCATTTTATGATATATTTAAATTTTAGTGTTATTATAATTTATTATATGTATAAATATTTATTTATAACATGTGCTATATTTTGGTGTTAACTGAACTGATACAATAGCCTATCAGAATCGTTGCAATAGGATACAAATGGCATTCCAGTAGACAATATAAACCATTGCAATAGGTCCCATAAACTGTTCCAAAATGATCTACAAACCGTTCCAAATACAAATATAACCGTTACGATAGGCTAAAGAAATCGTGGCTATATCCAACATAACCGTAGCAATAACTTACATAAGTGTTGCTTTAAATAATATGTCAACGGTTAAAAACTGTTGTATAAACAATATAGTAACGGTTTGAAACTGTTCCAATTGAAAAAAATAATCGTTCCAACAGAGAAGTGGAAAACCGTTGCAATAGACAGATCTATTGTAACGGTGACGTAAACCGTTACAAGAACTGTTCCAGTAGACCTATTGGCACGCCAGCTGATGTGACGGTCTGTAAACCGTTCCAAAATCCCTACGGCAACGGTTTGACAGTCTATGGGGACGGTTTTTTTAACCGTTACCGTAGACCAATTTTTCAGTAGTGTATGTATTGTTTACTCTTTTCTCCTGCAAAATAATCTTGTTAGTGGTAAAATTAATCACAAAATATTTGGTAGAGGTGAATGCTATCAAGTTACCTCTATCACATAATTGTGATACACTGATTAGACTGTATTTTAGGCCATTTATCAAGTAGACATTCTCAATAGAGTGAGAATCAATCTTACCTACCTTTCCAACCCCAATGATCTAACCTTTTTTCCCATTTCCAAAGGAGACATTACCTCCTTTGAGGTCCTCAAGTGAAAGGAATTGGTTCTTGCTTCCTGTCATATGCTTTGAACAGCCACTATCCATGTACCATATTTGGTTGCTCCCCTTCACTTGGACCCGCAAAAGGAAATCAGGGGGTTAGTCTTAGGAACCCAAACTAGTTTGGGTCCCTTTCTGTAGGCAAAAGGGTGAATCAGATTCTTTTTAGCCCAACCTGGCAGCCTATTTTTTCCTTGAACAAATTCTTTATTCTTTTGACTAGCCTTTTCTTTTGTAATACATTCACTTTTATAGTGACCATTTTTACCACATTGTGTGCAAATTATGTTCTCAGGAAGTGTGAGGTACTTGCTTTTGGGATCCCACTTAGGTGCAGGGGTCCCGTAGCCAAGTCCTCTCTTATTGCTACTATGGTGTTCATGTAGCCATGAAAGTGCATCGGAGGACCTATTCCATTTACAGGTTCTGTCTAGCTCATGCTTAATCTTGCTTAGATCCTCCTTAAGGACTCTTATATGCTCATCTCTTTTGTACAACTCGTCTTTCATTTTTCCTATATTTTCTTCTAAAGTGAGTTGTGTGTGATCAACTTTCTTTTTACCTGTTCCTAATTTCAGTTTTAGATTTTCAGATCTTAGCTCTAGGACAGTGGTGTCAAGTTCATGAACTTGGTTCTTTAACTCAATATTTTTACTATCACTTTCACTAGCCCTAAGTTCCAGATTTTTGCACTTAGCTTTCAAAATCACACACTCCTTAGACAGCTGTTCCTTTTCATTATTTAGATCCTCAGATTCATCAATGAAATCCAGGAGTAACTCAGA